TTTCTGGCTAAGAGGCCTTCTTGGGCCCTCGTGGTTGCGCAAACCGGAGTTTGCTCTAGGGAGGCGAACTCAGCCTGGTGAGTGTTGAGGGGAAGTGTCACTCACCCCTGCGCTCAGCCATCCTCACTGAAACTAAGCAATTCCTGTCTGACGAAGGACTCCTCTCAGCCCTCCTTTTGGATGTCCAGGGCAGCTGCCAGGGGCCAAAGCTCTTTGGGAACAATAAAATGCGCAATGTTGGCGTTTAATACATGATAAAGTACTCCCTGCTCCAAGCCAGCTACTGAAAACACCAGGCCTGAGGGACGGGTCTATTAAGTGAAAATAAACCTCTTCTATTGTTTCATGCAAAAACACATATTGTGCTTCACAAGCTTACAGCTGGGAACAATATGCATTTTTGGCAAAAGAGACTTGGGTGACCTCTCCACTGTCACACGATGACCCCTCACTGTGTGAAGAGTAGATGGCATTTCACACACCGGCTACTGGCCCAGTGCTTCTCTTGGCTGTGGTCAGAGGTGGTCAGAGGTGCAAGCGAACCTCTCCAGCAAGGGAGCTCCCTTTTCCCCTTTGCTTCTTCTGATCAGTCTCGGTGGTAGAGCAAACTTAACACTTCTTTAGAGCCACAAACCCAAACAAATAAAACTCTGGGCTCTGAAAGCATTGAGTCTGCCAATGAATCATGGAACATCAGAGAATTAATATGTGGATGGTTCTTTGAAAACGGATGGTGGAGAGTAGTCCTGAAGAAAGGTGGCTCAGGGCCATGACTTCTAGTTTCCCCTAGAACATGTCAAGTCCATGAAGAAAGAACTTAACAAAAATATGTACTTGCTTCCCAGCAGAAAAGTTATCCAACGCCCAGTGCTTAAGTGAGAGACAACAAATTTGATCTTAAACTTCCCATTGCCTCAGACTTACAAGAAGCTGTTAGAGGTACAAATTTGAGTTACCCAACAGTGGAGGCTTCTCTGTGTTTTTCTTCTCACTAGAAAGTTCCTTTTGATTTTCCAGGATGCAAAATGTGGGACGGATCTCTGATGACTCCGTGTGGGCAAACAATACCAACACATATGCAACAGACATTTCAAAGTAATCCATTCAGATTATTATAAATTACAAAACCAGAAAGCGAACAAATGAAACCCCACCAAACCTTTTGGCTTTACAGTGCAATACACTAATGAAGAATAAGATGCCAGCCCTGGAACTCTCTATTTTTTGGAACGAAGATATGAAAAGTGTCCACTGCCCTATAAAATAATTTTTATATGTTTATATATTTTATATATCTAAGGTTTATTTGTACAGTAGTTGATAATGACTAACATGTTATATATACCCTTTTTATAAACATTATTCACATACCTATTACATCATAAAGATTGTCTTTTGGTCTATTAAAAATATTGTACTGAAAAAAGAAGCAGAGACACAAGGGTCTATAGATTTTCTGCTGATATTCCCATGGAGGAGTGAAGTTTTCTCCTCTTTCATTTTCTCTTTCCTCCTTTTTCCCCCTAAACAACACCCTCTCCCCCTGACCCAGCATGCAGTAATAAGAAGCAACAATTCCAGAAGATGAAACTCAGACTTCATGGTTAGCAGACTATTCTCTGGTGCATTTCTGGGCTGACCTCATTCTAATCATTCTACTTCGTCCTTGGCTGCATTCCCACCACCTCCAGCACTTTTTGACCCACGACAATTTGGAATATATGTGCTGGAGCTCACAGTCTGGAGATGAAAACTTTAGCAAATGGGGGAGCTTTTCTTATGCCTCTGAGTTTGGGTGGGAACAAATCATAGTCTTCATTTTGTGCTTTAGAAAAAAAATATTTTGTTTATTTGGCTAAGCAGTTTCAAAGGAAATTGAAATCTTCATAAAACCCTCCATGATACTATAAGACATGGAAAGTTCCCAGAGAAGAAAAAAACAGCAAGTGTAAAAATTAGGAGTGGTGGTTTCCTGTTATTCTAAATGTGAGAGGGGGAAGCCAGTCTAAGAAGAAGAAAGTCTGAGCGAGAGGGCCTTGGGGACAAAGCTATAATTAGCCAATGTGGTCTAATGGTTTCTGGGCGTTAAAAGTTGTATTGTTCCCCCATCCCCACCCAGCTTATACAACTTGCTTTTGTGGGGACAGTTTGCCTATACTTAACCTTTCTGTATATCACCTATAAAACTAAAATTCCTTCCAACTCTGACACTCTATGACTTTGCCCTGGCAAGTGAAGTCTTTGAAACCTACCTATAGGTGGGTTGTAAGGCCTCATGATTGTAACAAGAATCTGAAGGCAGCATCTCTCTATTCATTGCTTCTGAGGAGCCAGCCAAACCCGAATTCATTCCAGAGGAAATGGAACCAACATTTAGTCACAGTAGTTCAGAGAAAAGGGATGACCGACAATTGGCAGTACCATCATGGACCACATGTAAGAAGGAGACGTTGTCACTGCATTGGCCTTTCTGTGGTCTCATCATACCTCTTGCTTCTCACCCACCTCTTGGCAGATAAAGCCAATGCTGTGGGGCTTCTTGTTGCCTATTATCACCTTCCCCTGGGGTTAACCAAGAGAAGGCTATGATTAAGAAGTCCATTAAGTTAGTCATCCCATTAAGACACAGGTGCCAGTTTGAGCCCTGCAAGTGACAGCTTCACACAGAGGAAAACATTTCTGTAACCACAAAATACAGTCCTTACTCAGCTCATGGTTTGGCTTGGCTCCTTACCAGCAGGACTGGATGAAAGACGGGGGATGCTTCAGTGCAAAATTATGATACTGAACTTCAAAACCATCTATCAATACACATCCAAATCATGCTGCGTTCCTGTCATCGTCTTTGGTAATCAAGGTGGCATGTGCTTTTAGAAATGAAACTCTTACTGATGTCTTAAGACGGGGGAGAAGATGAAAACACGTGGCTCAAAGAGTCTGGGGGTATTTGTGCGTTTCATTTATCTGTACAATCTCTCTCTCAGGTTAGCACAGATAATTTAAAATTTATATTTTAAATTATAGTTTTTTGAAAAAATAGGGGTAGAATATCTTCTTTTGACTTCTTTAAGATGACTTATTTCTGAACAAAAAAGCCTGCATGGTTATAACTGATTTTTATATCTTTAGACTTGAAATAGCACTGCAGTCTGTGGCATCTCCCTTATAACATCATGCACGTTTCTTGTCTGAGATTATTTATGTACTAAGTCCTTATTTCCTTGATTGGTATATTCTAACAAGAACCCTCTGGATCAGAAAGTATCAGGGTGGAAAGACAGAACGGAATTGGAATGGAAAAGAATGTGGATGTGGTGGCGTGATGCAGGAGGCACAGTCAGGGGAGGGAGTGAAGGCTGGGGACATTGTGAAGAAGCACTAGCCTCTCTGGCTTGAACATCTGAGAGGAGAATATCATGCCATCCCCTGTACTGCTCTAAATCTGAGCTGGAGCAATAGGCCAGACACAGTGTTGGGAGGCATTTGATGTTCGGTCTTTTCATTTGTCAGTTAGGTGCCAAGGTGTGAGAAATTGGCAAGACAAAGTTTGGCTTTGACAGCAGAACAGAATAACAGGAGGGCCAGGAGTCTGGTGTAACGTGTAGCGGCACATGACTCACGTGCTTTTCTCCAACCTGGCCCGCCACCCATTGATACTGTGGGAAGACACATTTGCTTTTTCTCCTATTACCCTGCTGTCTTGGAGGCCAGCCTACTGGTATTCCTGTACCATCCCTGATGTCCAAGGAGTATCACATGGTCCACAGCTCTGTACCGAGCGGTTTCCATTCAAGCAGACGATTTGCTCTCTTCAGTAACCGGTTATTGCTAGCTCCTCCTGGGAAGATCTCCAAGGCGGGGTCTGTGAAGGTGAAAAGGATTTTAGAATCTATTGTGTGTGAATGCAGCCTGGTTAGAACTGTAGTTCTTTAAAATTCTTAAGTCTTTTGGGCAGGAATTTGTCTTTCCATTTCACAAAAGAGATGTCGTGTCCTCCGTTCGTCATATCGGGAGGTACACACTATCTACTTCCCCATTACTGGAGATGCTAACTTTGATCTTTTGGTTAAGGTGGTTGTCTACCAGCTTTCTTCACTATAAAATTGTTATTTTCCCATTTGTGATTAATAAGTATCTTTTGAGGAGATACTCTGATACACTAGTTTTAATCCATGATGACTTTTGCTCGAACCAATTGTTACTGCAGTGGTTGTCAAACTGGGATTTTAAAAAATTCCATCATTCCTTCTACAATTTTTAGTTGGCCCTGTACTGTAAGGAAGAGCTTTTCCTTCTCCCTCATTTCTTTATATAGTATGGACTCAGGGATTCCTATTTGATTATTTGTAAGGATTATCATCCATTACTGCCCAAAATGAATAATCTGAATCTATTGATTAAGAAATGTCAGACAAAGCCTAATTGAGAGACATTCTATAAAATAAATGGCCTATATTCTTTGAAATGCCAGGATCACGGAAGACAATGAATCTTGAGGAACTGTTCCAGATTAAAAGAAACTAAAGAGATATGACAAATGCAATATGTGGTCCTAGATGGGATCTTAGACAAGACATCAAAATCTGTTTTCTCCGTAAAGGAAAAGAATGGGACAATTGGATAAGATCTGTAGTTAATAGTGCTATATCAGTGTTAATTTCCTGATTTTGGTAATTGCATTGTGATTATGTAACACCCTTGTTTTTAGGAAATACACACTGAAATGTTTAGGGGAAAACAGGCACTTGATTTTTAGCTTACTTCCAAACGGTTCAGAAAAATTATATATAAAATTTATATTAAATTTTAATTTAATAATTAATTAATATATATGTACCTACATATATAAAAGAGAGGATCAAAACAAACATAGTAAAATGTTAATATCTAGGGAACCTAGTCCTGAAGGGTATACAGGAATTCCTTGTACTATTTTAGCAACATTTCCAGAAGTCTGAAATTATTTAAAAAATAAAGTTAAAATTCACGAGCCCCCAGAATTTCTCCAAAGCCTCAAATATTTTATTTTTGATTTCCAAACCCAACCTGCATTCCTGTCATCCCCACACATGTAGCCAATGTCCTCCCCTTCCTGCCTAGCCCCTGGTGCCTCTTCTCTTCCCGAGGCTGAGGATGCTCGGAAGGAAGTGCAGCCAACACTTCCAGCTGCCCCTTGTCCAGGTGAGGGCAGGCGGTTTGGATGGGCATCACAGGAGCCGGCTGCTCTCTGTGACTTTGCTGCCAGTGCTTGGCTCTTGGCCCTTCTGAGTGCAAATGAAGTCCCAACTGACCATGCTGAAGGGGGACAGGAGAAAGCTAAAGGATGATGGGAAATTGGTCCAATAACATTTAAAAAGATTTGCTTTCTAAAAGACCCAGGCTCGGAGTTTGTCCACAAGTGAATTCCCATGAAAACCCAGTAAAACAGGAAGTAAGTAGGAGAGGGAGTTTTCTATCTTCTGCCCAATGTCTTTCATTTGGAGCCTGAGTCCTTTTCTATCCAACGACTCCTGCTGATTTAACAGGCCAGTTTTGTCTTTGGGGAAATTTTAGTGATGATCACAGACAGGTTCATTCTTTGCGGGGTGGCACAGGACAGCTGGATCTTGCAAGCAAAGTTTATGGGAAGTATCGGTTTTGGGAGTCTGATCAAAACCCACTCTCCAAAGGCAGAAGCATGAATTGTGGCTACAGAGACTAAGTGTACAGAAGGAGCCTGAGCTTTCAAGCAGGCAGCCACATCTGGGCTAACAACTGAGCTTCTCTGCGCTCTCAGGGCCTGCCCATGCAAGACAGGACTTACGCGCTCCACTCAGAATAACAGCAAGTAAGAGCCATTGGAGGCTCCAGGTGGCTGCTTCCTAGTCAACGCGAGAAGCACGAATGAATAGAAAGCCTGTGATTATGAGGACGCATTCTGTGTCCCATCATGACAATAAGTTATGCAGGATTTGGAGTTACGCTGTCTCCATCGTACACCCCCAAACATGGGCCGGAGTTTCAGCCTGCTATTCACAACTTTTAACCCTAAAAAGGGAAGACACCTGTGTTAGACATAGTCTGCTTCTCCTCCCTGTGCCTAATTGGGTACCAGCACTGATGCTGGGCACCTGCCTCTGGAGATGGGTCAACCCGTTGCTATCACAGGGGGCCTGGAAATGGCTGCTTTGATCTGCACATCAGGCCTGGCATCAGCAGCTGGGGGCATATCCCTCCGAGACTGGAGGCAAGGTGATTTGAGACAACTGCTTCTGGATCTCAAGGGAGTAGTGGTGGTTTGTTAGCTCTTTAACTACCTTTGTTGTGATGTAGCATTTCTGAGGGTGAGCGCAGGGACAGGGAAGTAATAAGGAAGTAACTGCCAAGGGAAGGCCAGCTGCCACATGAATCTGATCTTCCAGGTTGTGCTAAATGATGTAGAAAGAACTTCAACTCTAAGATCCACTGACATTTTAATGGACACTCAAAAATCCCATCAGTGGCAGGAGGGGTGAATTTACCTTTGGCTGGTGTTGTACAGCACTGGGTAGCAGCTCTTATCAGTCCTGTGTCTACAGGCCAGGGGTTTTAGGATTAGGCAGGTAATAATGCTTTGCTTATTGAGCACTCAGGGGACAGGTCTGCTTGAAGTAGAAAACCCTGATGTCTGCAGGAAAGCTTTTGTGTCTCATCTTAAATGAGGTGGCAAGCAGCTAGCAGCATCCACTGGGGTCCGATTGCCTGGGTTTATTCCCAAGCTCCACCAAGTCCCAACTGTATGACCCCATGGAAACTATTTAATCTCTCTAGGTCTTAGTTTCTTTACCTGTAAAATGGGCATAGTAATAGTATTTACTTTGTATGGTTGTAGTGAGATTTTAAAATCAGTCAATATAAGTAAAGCACATAAAAGTGTCTGGCACAAGGCAGGGGGTCTGTCTATCACTGTTGGCTCAAAAGTATTACTATAAATTAGGAGACCTCTTCAAGGCTATTTATTATGTTCCTGGTTCTTGATTATCTCAAAGAATGGAAAACCCTACAGGTGGTGGATACAGATCATTAAACGGGCTCATGGTCACACTCATTACTGGAGTCTCTTTTGCCTTAAAAACCTGAATAGAGTTCTTAAAATTTTACATCCTAATCCACAAAATGAGGATAACAATAGCTCAGTATTTACTTTATATGATTGTCATGAGAGGGCCTCTATTATTCTTCCTATTATACAGATGAGAAAATTGAGACTCAGAGAGGTGAAGTGACTTGCTCAAAGTCACACAGTGAGTCACACTTGAGATACAATGGGTGTTCTGATTCTATAGCCTGGGCTCTCCACTGCTAGGCCAGAGAAAGGTGAGCGGAAGAGAGTGAAGGAGATGGGGGGGGGGGAGGAAGAGGGAGGGAGGGAGGGAAGGGGAGAGGGAGACTCGCAACTAATAATAATATTCTTGGAATGAGTAAGTGGGCATGGGAATTCAATACATATATCCTAATGATAAGAAAGCAGATGACGTTTTATGCCTTGTCTACATAATTCGAAACAACCATTTTGACTGCGTAGAAAAATGACATTGCTTTTTGCTTGCTGCAGAATCATGGCTTTAAAGAGCTGTGAGGGCAGTCCCTTTGGAAGGTGAGTACTTAAGATCCTGCAGTCCTGGAATGCTAGTGCCTGAGCCAAGCCCCTTGTTTGAGAGGTGAAACAGGGCTGGAGAAAATGGAAGTAACTTGCCTCTAAGCTTGTGGCATCGCCCATAAGTTCATCTTTCCTGTGAAGGTCCTTCTTGGCAGGAAAAAGAGGATTCATTTATTCTCCAATTGTTCATTCAACACATATTGAATGTATGATCAAAAATGTTTGATAAATGAATGAATTTCCTTGACACTTTGAGCTTGTTCCTCTTTATCTCACTATGCTGCATGTCCGATTCCTTCTCAGTCTTCAAATCTCAGTTGAAATCTCACCTCCTTGGAGAATCCTTTCCTGGCCACCCTACCCAATGTAGTGCATACCCCCCCAGCCATTCTCCGTCCCCCCTCTTTGTTTCCTTCATAACATCTGTCATATAGAAACAATCCTGTGGGTTTAATGGTTTACCATTTACTCCCGTTCATGAAGGCAGGAACATCACTTGCTTTGTTCACTGCTGTATCCCAACTGTATGGGGCAAAACCTCACACACATAGATGCTCAATCAGTATTTGTTGAATGAAAATGAATGAATAAATGAATGAGGTGACACTGATTTCTACCCAGGAAGAAAACATTCTGTGACTTTAAATGGAGATGGAGTGAGAGCTAGGACTTTGGCCTGGAGCCCCTTGGTCATAATGGCGTGTCCAGCTGGGGATTAACTAATCAGCACATGCATTTTCTGAATTACAAAGTGTGCCAGGGACATTTAATTTCTGTTAATTAGCACTGAGGAGGAGGGGTTGTTATCGAAATCACCAGCCAGCTGGAAGCATGTCCATGTCAGACCTATTTGCAAATCAGAATGGACATTTCATAAACCTTGTCAACCTTGTGAAGCTGCAAGTGAGTCCCCAGAGGGGCAGCACCAAGGTGCCCACCGGCTGCATTCGGGGTCACAGATGACCTTGAACCTCAAACCTTCAACAGATGAGGAGGCGAGGTGATAGGGACAACCAGAAGACAAAACACTGATGAGGGTTATGGCATGAGATACATTTAAAAATAACTGTCATATTTCCTCAACCCTGGTGCCACTGACCAGCTGATCTGAAAAGTGAAGAGAACAAAGAAGCTGAGATTTCTAGTCTTACAGAGCCAGCCCCACTGCTTCCTTTCTGTGACCTTAGACAAGTGATTTATCCTCAGAGCCTCAGATCTGTTTGATCCATAAATAGGGGACAATAACACCCAACTCATGGGATTGTTGTGAATGTTAAATGAGAAAAGGCATGCAAACAGTCAAGATAGCTAACGTCACAGAGCATTTTCTAAGAGCTGGGCACTGTGCTAATGACCTCATGCCCATCATCTCTTTTAATCCCCACCAAACCACTCAAGGAAAGCACAGTTAGAACCTGCATTTTACAAGCAAGGGGACTAAAGTTTGGGAAGATTAAATGACTTCCCCATGATCACACAGGGAGGAAGCGCAGAGCCTGGATTTGAATCCTGGTCACCTGACTCACTGTGCATTTAACCACCCTGTAAATGACCCTCTAAGGAGTTAGCTCAGTCCCTGGCATTTAGTAGACGTGTAATGAATGGTAGTAAGAAGATTCTGTTCTTATTTTAGCATTTCTCCTGATCACCTGCCTTTGTCATGACTGCAGAATTCACTGCTAGGGTCCCTTCTGCACGCCAGCATCTGGCCTATCTGTCTTACTTAATCTTCCCAATGACTCTGTGAAGTGTTGATTATTGTTTTCACTCCTCAGATGAGTAAAGAAAGTCTCAGAAACGTTAGTTAACTTGGTCCAAGGTCAGACAGCCAAGAAGTGGTGGGGCCAGGATTTGAGCCCAGGGATATGTGATTCCAGACCCCAGGTGGTTTCCTCTTCATTTCTCCATGCTGCGATCTTTCAGAATCTGTTTCGCCTCAGTGGAGCCCTCCTGACAGCTGAAACACTCCTTCATTACTCCCTGCTCTTACTTCTGAGCCTAGCTCTTTCTTGTACTCTGTTTTTGAATTGTGCCTCCATTCCCATTTATGGGTAATAGCTACCATTTATTGAACACTTCAATGTACCCCGTATCACCATCAGAGCTGTACAAGCATGATCTCATTTAATCCTGCTGAGAACCCTATGAGGTGGAGGTTCTGATTCCCATTTTACAGATGAGAAAGCAGGTTTAGGGAGGTGGTGTAGCTTTCTCAAGTTGCTTCAGTCATTTGCCAAAGGAAACCTAACTAGTAGGTGACAAGCTGGGACCAAACCCCAGATGATTTGGTTCCAAAACCCGTCACCCTAGCTATTATATTGTTTCTCCATATCTTGTAAGGTTCTAGTGGATTGGGAGTACAGCTAGAATAGCTACCCCCAAATCCTTGTTGACTGATGTGTTAAAATTTAGTCCTTTACTGGAGGTCTCCATGAAGAAGGTCCAAGCTATCAAATTTGCCAAATCTAAAAAGACTGTAAGCTTAAAAAAGAATTCAGTTTATCAATAGAACGTGCAGGATGGAATATTTGGAAATGTGGTTCTGATATCTAAAATTAGCCTTCCATTCCAAACAGTATGGCGCCTTCCGGCTGTCTGACCGCTCTGTCCTTTGTCATGGAAGCTGATGCCATCTCTCTCGAGCTGTGACTGACATGTTCTCCTCAGGCAGACCTCAGGCAGTGTGGTCCTCCAGCTCTCTCCTAGACAGAGATGGAAAGCATCTCCCAAGGAACTGGGTGGGGAAGGCGTAGGGATCCAGGTACAACCCTTTGAAGGTGATATTTGTTTGAATTCCTCTATGGTCCCCCAGGCGTTTTTGCTGTCTCCTTATGTTTTGATTCACGCTTGCTTTTGCTTATTTGTGAGAGTCTCCTGACTGCAAATAGTTCTCACAATCCTCTCAGATGGTCCAGGGAGTTGTTTTCATGGGAAGGACATTAGGATGGCTCTGGCCTCTAGGACACGTGCGACTGACAGCCGTCAAACTCTGACATTGCAAGTGGCCTTCATCAAGTCGGTCGGTCACGCTAGCATTGATTCTAACAGTGTTCACCAGGGATACACAAAATGGCCTTTGCGAATGCATTTTGCCTTTCTCCCTGGGTCTTGGCTGGCATCCTTTTAGTCCTTACCAGGCTGCAGCTCTTGTCCATCCAGCAGTGACCCTATCTGCATAATTAGCTTGCATCTGTGGGTGTGTATTTACCCACCCGCCCCCGAAAGCAATTGCCTTTGAACTTCGGAAAAATACCAGCATGGAACACTGGAAGGTGTCAGCTCTCTGAGTCCTCTTGTTCCCACAGAGAAGATGAAAGTGGGGGTCATTTTGGAAATCATGTTCCCCTTCTTCTGGACTCTGTATCCTTTAGAGTGAGGACAGGCAAAACTGGAAGTAAACTCAAGAAGAGGGAGAGATCTAGGGAATGCAAAATAATCATTGTGTTTTGATGTCAATGATCTAGAACCACATTGCAAGCTTTGGTTCTTTTACAAGTTGCTGGGCTGTGTCTGGCCGCCCTTGCAGCAGGCGTAGATTTGCTTTTTGGATTTCTCTGTACAGAACACTCTCAGTCACCTTCTTTCCCGTCCCTACTTCTTGGATGATAAGACCCTTGTATGGGTTGGCTAAAGAGTTCGTTTGGGTTTTTCTGTTAAGATGTTATGGAAGAACCTGAACGAATTTTTTGGCCAACCCAACACTTATTCTCTGGGAGGGCTTGACCGCCTGAGTTAAACCATTCCCCCACCCCCATCTTCATCCTCACCCCTGTGGTCTCAGCAGCACACACACATTTGTGCAACCTCTCCAACCTCAACCATGTTATGTGCTTACAGTTGCTATTGAAGAAGAGGGATGTGGTGATTTAAGATTAAGGTTTGGATTTAGAGTCCTGGGTTCTAGTTCTTGTTGCCTTGGACAGGTCATTTGACCTGTGAGTCATAATTCTAATCCCTAAAATGGAATAATAGCAGTACCTGCATTCATAGGGTTGGGTAGGATTGGATGGCATAATGCATGTACAGTGCTTGGTACACAGTAGGTGCTCAGTAAATGGTGACAGTTATTGCTGGATGAAGAATCAGTAGTCTCCCTTCCATCTCAAACTAATTATGTGACCTTAATCAAGGCATTGAAATATCCGGAGTCTCGGTTTTTTGATCTGTAGTCTGGGGACAAAAATAACTTTTCTCTGCACTCTTCACGAGGTTCTTATAAGAATTTGGTGGCAGCAGCAGCAAGATCTGTTTTAGTTTCAGAAGTTGAGGAGCTACTCTGGTTTTTGCAGTTGGCTACCCAGAGGCTCCAGACAACACCCAGAGGAGAGCTAGGTAGAAAACTCTGTATTCAAACAATGCAGGCACAGCCACAACCCATATTTTCTCTACTCAGGAGCAACAAGTCCTCCTAAAACAGCTGTACTTGGAAGAACTCTTGTAAAAACCCCTTTAAACTCAAACTTCTCAAAACCAGACATGCTGGTGCATCAAAATCTCAATTCCCAGCAATGAATCAAAGCTTTAGAGTCCCAGTGACAGAAGCCAGATGGGAGTTCAAATATTCAGGCAGGGTATCTATGGCCCCAGGTTGCAATACTTGCTTTGACTAGTGCTTACTGAGTACCTCTATGAGCTGCACTCCGAGTTCCATATGGTACATGATTGGGAATTTTACAGGGAGTGATAAGCATGGAATTCAGGATAGTGGTTGTGAAGGAAGTGGGGAGGTGGGGAAGGAAGGAATGGGACTGGGAGAAGCACACAGCAGGTTTCAATTATTTTTTAAAAAGCTAGGTGGTGGGTATATGGTTATTGGTTTTATTATCCTATATATTTCTATAGAACATTTAATTATAAAAGGGGAGAAAAGCAGAAAGGAGCCCAAAATCCAGAAAAAAGTAATAAGAAACAACATTCTGTGAGGGCCATATGTATTTTTATCTATCCTGGTAACTACTTTATTTCTGTTGCCTCTCATAGAGCCTGGTCCAGAGTACGTGATGAATGAACTGTTGTTGAATGAATGGATGGAGGGATGGATGGATGGCTGGATGGGTGAATCTAATGCTCCTCCGTCCCGTCATCTTTGATCCCACCTCTGCTGCATTCCATTTGTCAAAGTATAGGTCAATAGGCAGAAGGGCTTCCTGGGAACATTTTGTTTCTGCTCTGGTCTAGGGCACAATACTATGGCCTGGCCAACAGCAGGTGGCTTTGATCATCATTTAACATTGCTCTATTTCAAGAAAAACGTCCTTGTGAGATTTATCCTCAGGGACACCAACCTGCTGCAGGGCTCTCTGGAGTTAATTCCTCTGGCTTAGTGTTGCCTGCCAAACACATTCCCCTAGGTGACTGCCTTTCAGGCTCACCTAAGAGGTTTCTGTAAGTGCTAACACTCCTTTCACTTAGCCCAAGGGGGAACTGGAGTCTTTACTCTCAAGACTAAGTAAGAGAAGCATCAGTGACAGCAGCTGCTGCCCCAGGAGAGCCCAGCTTGTTAAGTACTTGCTCCCAGCTGGAGAGGCTTGAGAGGCCCTTGTTATTCTACCTGCTTCAGCTTCTCACTTCCTGGGAAGGGAGTCAGAGGCTGTGGGGCTGCCCGTGTGAATAGGGGCTGGGGAGAGGATCAAGATGGAGGCCTGCTCATCTTATTGAAGCAAATTATGTGCTTCCATACCTGCCAACATGATGCCAGAGGAGCTGGGAAGCTGAAGTGCATTCCTTATGCCTATGAAACTCTTAGCTGAAAAAGGTAGGTGAATAGGCATGGAAATGCTCATCCTCCAAGTCAGCTCCTTTCCTAAGCTAGGGGCCTGATGAAGGTGCTTGTCGAGGGATGAACAGTGGCCAGGATGGGGGTTGGGAAGAGTGTCAGGTTTGACAGCAGTGCTCTCAACCTCTGGGCCTTATTCTCTATAATAGGGTAACAGTCAAGATATTTAGTAATCAGTATGGCATAGGCACTAGCCAATCAGCATGAAGAAGGGCTTTATTGCTGCAGCTGGCCTTAGCTTTTTAGCTGTTGGATGGGAAAGCGATGGGGAGGACGACATGGAGAAAGGGCCAGGGTGTGGGAGGGGGGAGAGGTCTTGGGGAGCTCAGAGCATCTACTATTCACCTATCAGTACGGGACGATTTCAATATATTAACCACCAGTGAGGTCATACTCCTGCTGAATGTCAGATCCAAATGTCAGCTCTGCTATACCACATGAGAAAGGTGAATTTGATTCTCATACTTCATGTGCCTCAGAATCACTTGGGGAGCTTGTTGAAAGCACAGAGGCTTAGTCCCCACCTCAAAACTACTGAACGACACCCTGTAGGGCCCTGGCTTGGCCTGCTATGCTCCTGAGACCTGTGTGCCTGGATCAGTGGATGTCTGGGGATCCAGCTGTAACTTTCAAGGGGTTTATGATGCCTCTGGGAGATGAAGTCAAGCACGCAGTCTCTAGGGGAACGTGCCCAGTTCAGGTGCAGGTCGTGTGAGTGAGTGAAGCAGGCTACTGGGGCTGCGTGGCAAATTGAAAAGCGCATGTCCGTTTCATGGCAATTGCAGCCCCATCAGATGGCTGCCAGTCGGGAGCGCAGGCCTGGCGTGGACGGACCTTCTGAATTGTCAAGGGAAGTTGGAAGTCAGTGAGTCAGCTCTGCATCTCACCAAGTCACAGGTAGGGCGTCGCTTTAAACTCTTCCTGCTACAAAAGCTCTGTCTGTGGGAGGGGGAAGGGTGGAGGAGGTGCAGCTGGTCCCCCGTGATAAGGGAAGGAGACAAGTTTTAAGTGAGGCCCTTGATGCTGCTCAAGTCAAGTGTGACTCCACCATTTCCTTAGGTGTGGCCCTCAGAGTCTGTCCTCAGCTGGTTGTGCCCCTCCTTCACCTCTCAGATGCCCCCCCTGCTCTCTGCCCCCGCCCCCAGGCAGAGCCTGCCCTCCGCAGCTTTCCTAGCACTGAGGTGTCAGGTCTGATCACGGGGTGAAGGGGCACCTCTTCTAGGGACTCTGAGTCTTAGCTGAGGGGATGGAGCTCTCACAGGATGGAATATCTGGCTTCAGACGTGAGGTGCTAGGGATCCCACTGGGATCCCGGGAATGTTCCACAAAGGAGTAGATTCCTCGGTACTTAGGTGCAAGAGAACTTGGCTTGATTGCTACGTTTAAACCCATTGCCAAATGCTGCTTTCCCTGCTTGGGCACCCACCCCTTTGTCTGCCTGACTCTTCTTGTCCTTCAGGACTCAGACTGTGTTGTGACCTCCATGACTAGGCTACTTGGTCTCCTTTTAGCACCACATCCCCGGACAGGCCCTTGTTTTCAGCTTTTTCACCTGGAATTTCGATGGTCTGCTTCCTTGAAAACATTCAAGGCTAACATTTATCAGGTGTTCACTATGTGCCAGCATGGTTCCAGTCACTTTATCATCTCAGTTAACCCTCACAATAGCCCAGTGAGGTTGGCACTATTATCGTTCCTATTTAAGAAGACAAGGCTCAGACAGGCTAAGTAACTTGCCCAGCATCACATAGCTAGCACGTGGTAAATGAAGATTTGGACCCAGTCTTTGTGCAGCAGAGCCTGCAATTGTAACCACTGCATTATGCCACCTCCTTGCAGTTTGAAGTCAGTGGCCTGACATCAAGGATGGTCTCTTGGTTCATGTAGCGTAGTCCCAAGTTAGGCTCTGAAGTTAGATAGGGTGAGGGCAGCTATCAAACTCGCTCTGTCACTGTCTGTGGTTACCCTTCAAGCCTCAGTTTCCTTGGCTCTATAATGGGGACAATTGTACTTGCCTTATAAGGTTATGGTGGACATTATGGGAGAGAATGTATCTCTTGTTCTCATTGCAGTACCCAGCTCATAGAAATATCTGAAACATGGTGGTAGAATAAATGATGGGCAGTGCCCAGCGAGTTCAACTTGTACTGCCCCTTTCAAATCCTCATATGACTCTGCAGAGATGGGATTTGGTTTGGGAGGGAGTGAGTCTGATGCGGGGCATGGGGGAAGAAGGCTGGATGGAATGGGGATGGCCAGCCTCTGGCGTTGTTTACATTTCTCAGAGAGGTTACTCTATAGAGATCGTGGACAATGGGAAGAATATTCTGTTTCATTTGGAGGGTATGGATTGTATCTTCACTACGCCCAAACAACCTACTTTTCAGCCACAACAGTTACACATTAACTGGCTCCATTGCTACTGAGGCACAGACTAAATGTCTGGCTGGCTGGGCATGCCGTGTGTCTGCCACTCTGGGTGTAGACTGCTAAACTCATTAACTCACCGAGAATGCTTTTTGGGGTAAATACGAGGTGTAAGTACTCATATTTTGACAAATCATACGATGCCTGCCTGTCTTTATGACTTTTCCCCATTTCTCCATCTGGATTACTATATTCAGCTCATTGAGTCATGCAGTTGGGCCTGACAATTTTTGTGGAATAGACGTGGGTCACTATCACACAGAAACACCAGAGCATGTGACCACATTGGCTCTACCAACCCCAAAGGTCTGACACAGGTGCAGTATTCCTTGGCAGGATTATGGTTTGGTTTTTGTTTTATTAAGGCCTGGAAAAGTCTTGACAATTTAGTTTGCCAAGTGTGTGGTTGGTACATAAAATATGGATGTTTTTAATCCCAGGATCTTCAAGAACTGTCCAGGGAGAAGGTCTAATTAGACCTGCCTTTTTTTTTTTTTTTTTTTTTTTTTTTTTGCGGTACGCGGGCCTCTCACTGCTGTGGCCTCTCCCACTGCGGAGCACAGGCTCCGGACGTGCAGGCTCAGCGGCCATGGCTCGCGGGCCCAGCTGCTCCGCAGCATGTGGGATCCTCCCGGACGGGGGCACGAACCGGTGTCCCCCGCATCGGCAGGCGGACTCTCAACCACTGCGCTGCCAGGGAAGCCCAGCCTTTTGTTTTTTTAAATGACATCCAGGCTTAGTAGCAAATGGCATTTATGCACTAAAGTGCCCACATTGATGGGCATGCAATGAATGTTAAATCACAACAATTAAGTTAAATGAGAATTAATGATTTGTCTTACAGCATTGCCTCCACTCCCTGGGGTGCTCTTTTACCCCCGTTTACAAGGCTTTGCCTGGCTGGTCCCACTCACTTCAGCCCCATCTTAGTGGGGTCACCTACTTTTGCAGACTCCATCCTTCTTTCCCCACCTGTCAAGAATGTCAAGGCTGCTCTCCTACTCTTTTATCTTCTTCCCTGACACTTCCCCTAATCCTCTTTCTCTCTCACTCTCATCACCTCCCCACTCTCTCCTCCATATTTTCTTCACTCTCCCTTTCTCCTCCTTCTTACCCACTTTTCCTCTCCAACCTTATTTGTCCAGTCCCTTTTTATAGAAACTTTCCTCTAGAAGGCACCCCCAACCCAGCTGTGGATTGGCATCTTCTCAGTGACATTGTTGCCTTATTCTGCACCCTGGTGAAACAGCTAGTCTGCCCCAAATAGAAGAAATCAGTGAAAGTAAAGACTGTTGCAATGCAAACAGAACGTATATCTAAACTCAAACCCCTTACCAAGCTGTTTCTAAGCATGCTTTGTTTTCTTGGGGAAATCAGACTAGAGCCAGGATGAATGAATTGTCCGTAACACCATACAAGACCCTCTCCACGAGTATGTGATTCCTGCTTATCTATCATGTAGGATTATATGTGGGCAAACAGATTGAGAAGCTTAAAGTATGACGGTAGTCAGCTTTCTCTCTGACCTTGTTTGGAGCAAAGCCAGGAAGCTGTCTCTCTTTGGTTTAGAGGGTTCTTGGAATGTTCAAAGTATCTGTCTCACACCCTTCCCAGAAATTCTCCCTTGGCAGCCAGGATTATGACGATGGAAGCACAAAGATATGGTGGCTACTAGTGGCTGGTGTCTAGGTCCCAGAAGATGGCAGAAGCTGTTCTAAGATGTTGAGGTCAAAGAAGTAATGCCAGCATTCCACCATTGTGACCCCCCTGGCTGAAGCCCCTTTTATAACATCATAGAAATTCTACACAGAACCCAGAGGATGAGAGGCTGCACACTCCACGCTGGGGAATAGAGTGGGCAGGATGAGCTCCCATTCCTTGGTCTGGGTAGTGGCCTTGCTACATTGAATCATTATGTTTGGAAGGTCGTCTAGTCTATCTTCCCAGCCAGGGCAGGAATCCCCACTCCCACCTGTCCTTTCCTGGAGGTAAAATGGGCAGAACAAGGACCCATGCTTGAGTCCCCAAAGAATGGCAGGACGCCCTCAGTGGAGGCATACTGTATTTAAATGCAATTCACCTCTTTGGGGTCTAGGAAAAGCCACCTGTAGATTCATTTGCTGGGAAACACGGTCTGCGTGGTCGAGGCAGTGGGCGCTGGGGCCATGATTTTGCTAAAGGTTGACTTCCTCCGGAGGTCTGTCTGCTGTCCAGAATGGCAGCCGCTTCGGTGGGCGAATAGGACGGTCATCTCTGGGCCCAAGGGGGCTGCTTCAGGCTGGGACCCCTTCGGGGTGGCTGGTTGTTCAGGCTTCCCAGAGGTGTGATGTTTGGCGGGAGGAGGGCTGTAATTCTGAAATCTCACGGTTTTGACTTGCTGTAAGACAGAGGAGAGCAAAGGGACATAGGTGAGTGGGAGACCTGTGCTATTTCCCCCTGGGACTTGGTTCATGCTGTTTCTCTACACTTGTCCCTTCCTGGAATGCCTCATTCACGTGTTCATCCAGCAAATACTTGTGTCTGTCATGAGTGTCGACCATGCATCACCACTCTGTCAGGTGCTGTGAAGCCAAGAGTGAACAAAACCGCCCTGACAAATGACAATGATAACCATTGTCATGGGGGAAGCAGAAGATGCTGAGGAATGTGGAGAAGTATCCAACTGAAGCTGGAATGGGCCTTGTCCGAGAAGGCCTCTTAGAGGCAGAGTTATTTCAGTCAAGAACTGAAGAACGACTGGGAATTAGCTACGAGAAATAGGGGGGACAACCACCTACCTGAGAATAGGGTCCTTCACCTCCCCTCTCTCCTTCCCACCTGCCAGTGAGGCCTCCCTGCTGACTCCATCCAGACAGTTCCTTCATAAACCCTCAGAGCAGAGTTAGTCAACTGGACACTGCTGACTGAATATAGTCTGCAGAAAGTCTGGGAGTTCGATTTAGTTGCTAACACATTAAAAATTGGGAGATGCATATAAAAATCAGCATTTTATATGTCCCTTAAGATAATCAAAGGGCAGGCACACTGGGGCCTGTGCCCCATTCTGGCAGCAACTGGCTGGAGCTGATTAGCAGGTCCCGCTTTATGTGGGAGTCAATGATCTGATGTTTGCATAAGCCCTTCCTCTCTCCCTTCTTTCCTAGCCTGTTATAGATCTTGTATATTAGATTTTACTTTGGCCATTCCCTATCTTACAGCTTAATAAAGTGTTCTGTGCTACTGCTCAGAAATCTTTTTTTTTCCTGTGAAATTCAATCCCAATGTCTTGAGATTGAAAGGTGAGTGGGAGACCAAATGTCTTCATTCTTTTGACCCTTACCATGTCCAGCGGAGGTCTGGGCACTTACTAAACACAGTTTGAGGGCTGCATCTAAATGGCTTGGGGGTAACTGACAAGTGAGGTCTGGAAAACTTTGAATTATTTGAATACCGTAATTCAGAAGAAGAACTCTCAACATTTAAATCAGTTAACACTAACTTTTTCCAAATGCCTTTCCCTGCAAGCTTATAGCTTAGTTTTTGTGTCAGATCTCAGTTCTACTCCAGACACTCATGTGTGTCAGCTGTGTGCTTTTGGGTAATGTACTTTAACTCCATAAGCCTTCATGTCCTCATTTTTAAATGAGGATGACAATAATAATTATGGTTACATCAGAAGGTTGTTGTCAGAATTAAATGAGATAGGACATGTGAAGTACTCAGCACAGTGCCTGCTAGGTCGTTAGCATTCAGTAAATGCTTAACAAAGAGGAGGAAACCACACCATCTTTCCATTTGGAGGGAAATGGGTGATGGTAGTGATGGTGATGTTGGTGGTGATGGTGGTGGTGGTAGTGATTGTAATGGTGGTGGTGCGATGTTCAATACACTAAAAGATAACAGTCACCTAATTTTCTTCACGTCACCTCCTCCATCCCTGCCTCAAGGATATTGTTGAGAACATAACACTTTTACAAAAACTCTTAGGACTCCTAGTGGGAAAAGCCCTAGAACCGATAACCGCAAAGGTCCCGATAACAGTTGTTGGAGTAGTTATAACTCAGTGTGACCTTACTAAGTCACTTACCTTCTCCTGTGCCTCAGTTGCCTCTCCTATACTGTGAACGAGTACGTATCAAGCCCTGTGTAAGTACTTTACTCATTTAACTCCAATGCTATGAGGCTATTACTCTTCTTACCGCCATTTTAGGTAAAAGAGTCTCAGAAAGGTGAAGTGTTTTAACCAGAGTCACCAGCTAGCAAGCAGCACAGCTGGAATTCAAGTCAAGATTGTGTCTGATGCCAAAGCCGTGTTTTTTCCAAGTTGCCTCTGGGCCTCGAAAGAAGGATGTGTAAAATCTTCTGGAAGCATAAAGGAGCTTCAGTAACATGTCTGGGGAGGGTGCGGGTGATGTGAGGATATGGAAGGGGGGTTGTGTGTGAGGATTCTTTGGTGGCTGCAGTTTTGATTCCTTGTCCATTTACTGTGAAATCTCAGGAGCTGGGACACTGTGCAAAGTTAGGGGTCTAAAGAATCAGGCCCCCCTAATGTCACCTCCTCCTACCTTTTCGCTGCCATTTCTTGAGTTCTCTGGTTTCACCAGGATGGATGGCGGGGCAGATGCAGGCAGTTTTGGTGGAGGCTCACTCCTGACGGGGATTTCTTTGCCTTCCATGATGAGGGAACTGGCCGCCGAGTGGATCCTGGTGTCGCTGCCCCTGCTGACGCACGTGAGGGCAGGCTCCCCAGTGGCAGTGGGCTTGGGTCCCATCTCCGCCACCACCGCCGAGGCTGAGGAGGGGGCCCCCTGTGGCTGGTAGAATTGGAACTGCTGAGGCCGGACGACCATGGTGGGGCTGCGTCTGAGGGAGCCCACCACGAGGGTGTGGACCCCCGACCGGACGGGTCTCTGCAGGGATCCATCTGGGGAATTGTATGACAGAGATATCAGCAATGGGGCAGCTGACAGCAGCTTGGGTGGGAGCTGGGTAAGCAGTGTGTCCTGATAGCCCAGAATAGTTAAGTGCTTTCCCAGTTTGACTGTGCTCACATTCTCCCAGGGTCTTTCAAAGGTGACCTTATTCTTTTTTTAGTGCTGTTTGCTGATGCTGGCAGCAAATGACTGGCTAGGCGAACACTGGGGGTGGGGTGGCGTCAGAGGGTATATCACCTCTATTTGTCCTCTCCCTCTCTCTCTCTGTCACACACATACACACACACACTCCTACTTTCTCCCTCCAGGCCTTTAAGGTGGAAAGTGAAGAAGACAGTCCTAAAGAGAGAGCTTCGCAGTGAGAAATAAAGGCATGGAGACCAAAGAGGAAACAAAAGCAGAGACAAAGAAAGAGACAGCAGAAATTGAGACACGCAAGAGAGAGTGGGAGGGAGAGAGGGTAGGAGAGAGGGCAGAGGACTCCAACCAGCTACTTAAAGAAAATTCTGATGGAAGCTTTAGGCCTGTGGTGGTGGGACCTCTGCTTTTCATCGGATCTGCAGGGAGGAAGGGTGAGCGGAATTTAGGGACTGTGTGTATCAGGCAAACGTGACAGCAGCTGGAAGCAAATTTGGAAAGGTTATTCCCAAGTTAGGGATGTGAGCGGATGAGCTTCGTGAAGTCCCATGACTCAGGCTCTGGAATCAGATCTCCTCCCAGGGAGCCAGGAGCACATCAGTCACATCATCTCCCTGCTCCTCGGTCCCCTGGTTGTAAACTGGAGCTAAAAACAGCACCTCGTGGCCTGGGGTGAGGATTACATTTTATGATGTGTGCAAAACGTTAGGATAGTGCCTGGAACATCATAAATGCCCCATGTTTTAAAACTTTTTGTGTGTGTTTTTAGGTAAAGGAGAAGCAAACTCTAAAAATGCACGGTCCAGGAGTTTGGTTTTGCCCCTTCCGTTTCCCTGAGCTCATTTTTTTTTGTTTTTTAAACTGAGATAGTCCTCCCTCAGTAAAAGGAAGCCATTCCTTCCCCTCAAATTCTCTGGAAGACAGGAGATCCCCATCCTTTGAGCATATGTCCTGTGGGTGACCTGGAGAATAATCGAGAGTTCATTGTGCTCTGTGGGGGGCAGTGGGGGAGACACCCTGAGAAGCATTGTGGGCTATTTCTTCATAAGGGTCTCCCAGAATTTAGAGCTATAGGTGACATCCAGCAGAGATGTTAGTTCTTTGTGACACTCTATGGACACGTGTGTGAATCAAAGTCATCTGTGTCCAGCGCAGAAGGCCTGAGCCTAGGCCATGTTCTGTGTCATGACTCTTTATCAAGCCGGGTGTGAACATGAAGAGCAGATGCTCACTGTAACACCGCTGGCGTTCTTAGCTGCCACTGGCAACCCAGCCACCACTACACAAGTTTGACCTTTCAATGTCAATGTCTGTTTTTCCACTGACAGCCCTGTGAGATGCATACAGTCAATTCTCTGTCATTTCTCTTTGCTTTGGGTAGATTGATAGCTTGACCATCCTCACCTTGGGAAAAGGGAGAGAGAGAAAGCCTCTGGGACCTAGGAAGGTCAAAGCCACACTAGGCAGACCTGTCCTTAGGCTCTCAGAAATGGGTAAAAAATCAGTTTACCGCCTTATCTACTTATCTTGTCGGGTTCCTAATTTCCAAGAGCTTTAATGCTTTCTTATTACATGTGCATATAATGCAAGCGTCAAAACTCCCAGCCAATCAAGATCTACACAAAGTTAGAGAGGGAGTGTCCGAAAGGAAGTGTGAACAATTGCCGAGGGGCTTTTCTCCCGGTATTCAAAAGTGGTCTAGACTATGTGAACATTTCAACACAAGTGAAGTGAATTACATTCACATTCTGGAGGGACCCAACATGATCTGCTTAGCTGCAGTAGCAATATTGATACTGATAAAATGCTATACTATAAAAATAGCTAACATTTCTCGAGAGCTTATTATGTGTCAGGCACTGGGCCATTAGTGTTAAATGAATTATTTAATGCCCTGATGAGGTAGGTACTATTTTTATTTTCATTTTGCAAATGAGAAACCTGAAGGCCGAAGAGGTCAGTAACTTGCCCGAGGCTGTTGTGGTGGGATAACTTATTGCACGTATGTTTTGTGGGGAGAAGGTGGAGGAGAGGGTGAGGAGGGAGGCACTGTCGGCTAGAATTAAGAAGCAACGGTGGGATTGGTGGTCAAGCAGATGATCAGAAAGCACTGAGAAAGGGTAGAACTAAGATAATTGCTTTAATTGTCTTGGGGCACTAATTGCTTTAATGTCTGTGTGGCATACCGTCCCACATGTGAATCTTTTGCTCTGACTAGTACTGCATTTTCACCTTTAATCAATTTTTTTTTTTTGCGGTACGCGGGCCTCTCACTGTTGTGGCCTCTCCTGTCATGGAGCACAGGCTCCGGACGCGCAGGCTCAGCGGCCATGGCTCACGGGCCCAGCCGCTCCGCAGCATGTGGGATCTTCCCGGACCGGGGCACGAACCCGTGTCCCCTGCATCGGCAGGCGGACTCCCAACCACTGCGCCACCACGGAAGCCCACCTTAAATCATTTTTTAAGACAGCAGGAGGGATGGCAGAGCCCAGTTTAAGTCAGGGGATGTAGAACACATCAAGTTGACTTTGCTTGGCTTGTTTTCTTCTTCTAGAGAGGTGTACGAATATAGAGGCTTGATGTTTTATAGAACAATGGGTTTCACCCACTTTTTGAGAACCCCTGAAAATGAAGCCTTATGCAGAAATTCAATATATTAGGAGATAAAAGCATGGCTTTGAAGATGAAGGAGCTATGTAATTGCCATGTGTGCAATGTGGATGTTATATAAAAATAAAACCAAGGTGCAGAACAGTGTACTAAGATTACAAGGTATGTATGTACATGGACGAGAACTTGGGACTGGGGGGCAAGGATATGAAGGAGACATTTGTACAATATAATGTACTTTTGTACAATATAATTTTTTTACCTTGTGCATATATTAGTTAAACAAAGTGGGATTCAGGGGCTCTTAGCAATGACTCCTCTTTTCCTCTTCCCCTTGTTTCCCTTTTGGCACCTCCTGAGGGGTTCCATGGAGCACAGTTTAAGAAGCATTGATCCAGCAAGTGCTTTAGTTGTCCTGTCTTAATAAGAACCAGCATCCACCTTGGCCATGCTCTAATTATATGTTGGCATTCAGGGCTGGTATCATCCCAATCAGTCAGCGTGCGTGTATGAAGTGACTGAGGGCGGGGACCTTGAGTCCATTTGGCTTCATCTGATAAAACAATGCAGTATTTGGGAAGTGTAAAGCAACCTTCACAGAGGCTTGTTTTAAAGCCAAGATCCTTGTTTTTGCAAAAAGCACTCTGTTTGCCAGTGTGAGATCCCCCCATCCCCTAGCTCTAGGCACGTACCTCTCTGCCACCACTTACTCTTTCTCATGTTGCTCCGCCCTTTGCGGAGGGAGCCCTGCCCCAGGGTCCTGAGACCGGCCAGGTTCCGCACGGGGTTGACTATGGCCGTGGGCACGAAGACGGACTTGAAGGGCCGGCTCTGCCGGGGATCACCTTCTGAAATGCTGCCTTGGGAGGACACAGAGGAGGTGGATAACGTCCATGTGGCGTAGAGAGCAGAGCTCCGGGAGTCTGGAACACTAGATGTCTTTCTGGTTGTGCAAATTTTTTTTTTTTTTTTTTTTGTGAAAGAGAAGAAATAGAGAAAGAAAAGGTTCAGTCAAGAGTCCTGTTTTAAAAAAATGATCTGCTCCCAACTGTATAGCACATGTGGTCCCTCCTCATCGTATTCCTACCCATACATACCTACATACATATATATATATATATATGTTTATACTTGTCTTCATCACAGGCTTAACTATGGAGGCCTCAGCTTCCACACCTGGATAACTGTGTGGGCATGCTGAGGGAGGGGAGGGGGTCTCATACTGAGGCCTGGTGGAACTAGAAGACTTGAATATCATCATCTTTCACTCCAGCTCTGACCACTCTTCACCCCGTGTCCCTTCAGCCCTCAGTTCAGAGCACAAGATCTTGTATGTGTTCATTTCGCTTTGCAGAGGCGATTTCTTGTTCTTTCAGTGACTTTCCCACTAGATCCTAAGCTCTTTGAAGGCAGAGATTTTATATGACTTGTTTTATAGCCTCTGTGTTCTGCACATATTGTTTATTAATAAATGTTTGTTGAATGGCTGCCATGATGCTTTTAGCACTGAAGCCAGTCATTTTGTCTCACACATAGTAAGCACTTACTGTATACCCACTGTAACACCCAGCATTGGCCAAACACTGCCCACATCATCTCACAGGTTTTTCTCGACAGCCTTCTGAGGTAGGTACTGTTAGTACTACTGTTTTGTAGGTTAAAAAATAGAGATTTACCGTTACTTGTCCAAGCAATTAATAGATCTGAGATTTGAACCCAGGTCCAGGCTGGCCCCTCGCTCTACCACTAAGCTACCTACCTACTGGCTAGTTAGAGCCTTCATCATTTGGAAAACCCTGCATCCTACTTGAAAATTAACAAACTAAAGGAGCTGGTAGGCCCTACACATGCCTCCATAAGACCTAATTCTTCAGCCTTAGGCTCTGATTTTTAAGAACAGTGTTAATATTTTGTAAAACACCAATCTCCTGTCCATGTTTCCAGCCTGCAACTCCCTGAACCCCATGGGGAATGGTGTCATTTTACATGCCCTTCTTGCCCTTTTACCATCCTGCCGCAGCATCACAGCCCCTACCGAGTAGTCCATGAATCCCCTTGTCACTCTATTGATTAAATAACCCCTGCTAATTCCCTGGAGATAACCAGTTCAACCAAGGCCCCGGCACAGAGATGCCCTCCACGTATTTTCCTTCCTGTCAATGCCTCCAGGTTTCTCTTTAGGTAATTCCCCCTTATTTCTCCTTTTCTCTCCTTGTTTTGCTTTAAAAAAGTATATGTAGTTTAATATCGAGCCACCAGTGTTGTTCAAGATGGGAAAGGCGTCATGTAATGCAGCCAACTCTGCCCAGGAAGCATATGCATTCAAACACGCTGGGAACTGATGCTTGCAGAGAGGGGCTTCTGTCCACAGCCTTCAGCCTGCTTCTGGCCCCTGGGGATGCAGTCAGTGAGGCGGAGTGGGCTGTACACCAGGAAGAGCTCAGACTACATTCTGGAGATGAAGGCTGGGCTGGAGAGAACTCCCCAGCACTGGCTTGCCTGGCAGAGTCTGCATCTACCTGTTTCTTTTAAATGAATTTATTTATTTATTTGTGGCTGCACTGGGTCTTCGTTGCACTGCGTGGGCTTCTCACTGCGGTGGCTTCTCTTGTTTCAGAGCACGGGCTCTAGGAGTGTGGGCTTCAGTAGTTGTGGCACATGGGCTCAGTAACTGTGGCTCGCGGGCTCTAGAGCGTAGGCTCAGTGGTTGTGGCGCACGGGCTTACTTGCTCTGTGGCATGTGGGATCTTCCTGGACCAGGGCTCAAACCTGTGTCCCCTGCATTGGCAGGTGGATTCTTACCCTCTGCACCACCAGGGAAGCCCCTACCTGTGTTTTAAACAAAGGCCTCAAAGTGTTGGATGCTGCAAAATGGACTGGCAACAGCAAAGACAGGTTCCAAATTTGTTGCCAGCAGCATCAGCAGCCTGGACAGAATACAGTTAATGAGGCCCAAGCCAGCCTAATCCCACCAGTCCCTTCTTTGGACAACTGTTTACAGACAAAGGTGCAACTTCATTTTTCTGGACCCAGCATGAGGCCAGATTCCAGAAACTCCTAAATCTCAAGTCTCCCATCCAACACTGAGTCCCTCTATGTCTTTTGGCAAAAAGCTCAGCACTTACCCAGCATATTCTTCTAGCATCAAAGCACTTTGCAAACATATATTCATTAATCCCCATGACACCCCAGACCTGCAGATATTATGATCCCTGTTTTCTAGATGGAGAGACTGAAAGACATTCTGGGTTTAAGTGGGAGGTGTGTGTGTTGCCTCTGATTTGCTCTGCTGGGCTGCTTTGAGTGTGCAGGTCCCTGTGTCCCCTTTTCTACCTGAGATATGAGCCCTTAAGAACTTGCGCAGTATTTGAAAGGGACATGACACACAGCGGCTCTATCCTGCTCAGCACTGTCAGTAACCTCCTGGTAAGGCAAAAGCTTGGACCATGACAATCTTTATATAGTTCTATGTAGAAAGTTAAAGGAAAGTGAGTGGTGGCCCTCGTGTCACTTTTCTCCACCCCTTAGGCATCAGGATGGCATATGTGTCCAGTGAAGGTTGCCAGAAAGAGAAATATCCTGGCTTATTGGGCAGAAGGGCATTTATTGGGAGGACAGGAGGGAGCGGAAAGAGCTTGGAAACAGGATCCAAGGGAGGCTGCTGAGAGCTGGGCAGCAGGGATAGGAGGTGGGAAGAGTCTGATCAGGTGCTGCGCCTTGAGTCCCCGCCATGAATGGCCTTCAACTCTGTCCACATTCTCTCCTCCCTTGTTCCTTCCTTGTTCATGTTTCCAAGTCCCAAGAGGCTGAGCCTGTCCCTCACCTGTGGTGATGAGTTGAGGAGGTTGGGGATGAGGGGAAGGGGGAGAGGGAGGAGGAGGAGGAGGGGGAGGAGCAGGGGGAGGGGGAGGGGAGGGGGAGGAGGAGAGAAGAGGAGGAGGAGGAGGGGGAGGGGAGGGAGGAGGTGGAGGAGGGGGAGGAGGAGGGGGAGGGGAGCGGGGAGGAGTTGGCTTCTGCAGCCTGTGAAAAGGGAGGAAACTTATGCCTCTACCGAGACTGTGCATGGAAGAGGAAACCAAAGGGATGTAGGTGCTGTTAGGAAGGGCTTGAATGAGAACGTGACAAGTGTTCTGTACCACCTGAGCCAGGGGATAACTCTGGGATACGGGAACTAGGTCGTGGTGGCAGATATTTAGTTGTGGTTGGCACAGCTGGACAGGCTGGTGGCACCACCGAGCACAGAGGACTGGAGCTTTACACAGCATAGCAGCCTTTCCTCTCTCAGTAATTAAAAGGCTCCCTTGCTGAATCGTAAATCAAAACCCTGGCGTTTTTGTCAACTCTGGTCTCTAATTGATCCTGAAACTCTGGCTGGCTCAGTTCATTAGGAGATGATGCTAGTAAGAGCAGAGGTTCAAATGCTCAGGGGGCACTACACACCTTTGAGGTCTGGCTGTCTTATAAAAGGCAGCCCTGTGCACCACGGGGGCTGGTGGCAGTGCAGAGCCATCACTGCAAACAGACAACAAAAATGGGGCAAAACCTCTCACACACACAGAACGTTAGAACAGAAAGGGGCCTTGCACACATAGTCCAACCCACTCGGTAGGAAAAACTCAGCTGACAAAGGATGGCATCATTCAGCCCTGAGAAGCGGGAGGAATTAAACCTCCCAAAATGGGAAGGGTTGTTAAGAACAAGGGTGAGCTGCCCCCAGATAGACAAACTGAGCATGTCATCTGCGTCCAAGATTTTGGGGATGGGAACTTTCTCTGCATCTGAGAGGCTGTCAAGGAAAACACATACACACAGAAAGCATTGATCTACTGTCACCTAATAGCCCTCAGGAGATTATACTGTGACAGGGACTTTCCGTTTTAGAAATGCTGGCTCTCTAGAAGCAAACACACACATCAGCATAAGTAGCATCTCAGTATATGCACATATGCAGGTTTCTATGAGCTGGGGGTGGGGATGGACTCATGGCAAACTATGCTGGTGCTGAAACTCCATCCACTGCCTAACACGTGGCCATCATGGAGCAGGTGAGTCTAGATGCTCATGACTCGCCCAAGAACAGATCTAACTTGGAGAAAAGCCAAGAAGGAGAGAACGGGAAGCTGGAGCCTTGAAGTACACTGGAATGGAGTCCTACATGCATTCTAGTTAGGGTGACCTTACGTCCAGGTTTTCCTGGGAGAGTCTCAGTTTACACCTGCTCTCCTGGTAGAGTGTCCCTCTTTTATCTCAAAAGCATCCTAGTTTTGATGATAAGTTATATGGTCACTCTTCTTTTAATGTTTTTTTCATGGAATATCCAGGACTTTGGGCTAAGGCCTGATGCATAAGCAAATTCCCCAGTAGTAGAGATGGTCCCTAGAGCATTCATGATAAGATTCCATGGAAGACTGTTCATGAGTTAGGGTAGGTCCTTGCTCTTTGTTGTCACTTCTGGATCATCCTCCCACTGGAGGGACTTCTCAAGACTTCCCAGCTTGGGTTCACATGATTAGACTCCACCACCTACCACCGTGCCGTGTTGGAGCCATCATTTCCCCTCTTTCCTTGAGGAGTTGAGCTCCTGGATCACTGTCCTTCTCTCCATCTCAGTGGGTCCTATCATGATGATCTCATCTAGTCTTAGGGCTTTAAATACCATCTCAAGGCTGGACCTCTTTCTTAAATGCTAGACGTGTATACTCAACTGCTTACCAATGTCTTTACTAGGAATACTAAGGCATCTGAGACTTAATCTTCTACGAACCAAGCTTTTGCTTCCCCCCAACACCTCAAAACCTGTTTGTTCCTCTTTTGGTTTTCAACTCCATCTCAGTAAAAGGCAACTCTGTCTTCCAGTTACTCAAAGCAAAAAAAAAGTGGACTCACCATGAATCCTCTCTTCTTTTACACCCAGGATTTGATTTGTCAGAAAATCCTGTTGTCTCTACCTTCAGAATATACCCAGAATCTAACCATTGCTCCCTCCCTCCACAGCTAGCGCCTTGGTTCATTTCACCATCACCCCCTCCCCCAACCGGATTATTACAATATCTGCTTAACTAGTCTCTCTGCTTCAACCTTTTCCTATCTATAGTTTACTTTCAACCCAGCAACTAGAGGGATTCTGATTACAACATAAGTTAGATCATGTCATGCTTCTGCTCAAAGCCCTATAAATCGGTTAAAGCCAAATTCCTCATGATGACCGAGGAAATTCTGTGTGATCTGAATCCCTGTTACCATTCTGACCTCATCACCTACTAACCCCCTCTCACTTCCCTAACCCAGTCCTATTGGCCTTCATGTCAGGCGTGCTCCTCCCTCAGGGCCTTTGTTCTGTACTCGCTGTTCCTTGGGCCTGGAACACACCTCCCTCATTTCTTCATTCTACCTTCTTACCGCTCAGTAAGGCCATCTCTGACCAAGCGATTAACATTGTAATCACCCCCACGCAAATTCTATCCCCCTTTCCTGACTTCTTTGTTCTTCTTAGAGCTTATCATTAGCATGCCACATATATTACTTATATGCCTTGTTTATTGTCTGTCTGTCCCACTAGAATGTAAGCTCCACTGGGCGAGGATACTGTGTCTTTTATTCACTGGCGTTTCTCCAGCATCTAAAAACGTACCTGACATATAGTGCTCAGTACATATTTGTTGAATAAATGAATTAAAGCATCAGTTGTAGACATCCTTAGTTTGCCTTTGGAGATTTTCCAGTTTTCTAACAAATTCCAAGAACCTTCCATTTGAAAGGAGTAACTGTGATCCTCTATTCCAATTTTCTGGCATGTGAAGAAATCTTTTTGCCTGGATCTGTTGGAACCCACAATTTACCTGTAGTCTTTCTAGAAAGGGGATCCACCACCTCACCAGCCAGACTGATTAGAAAAATCCATGGGTTAGAAAGTGCAGTCTTTTATTGAACCGGAACCTTCTAAGTTGTATTCACTGGTTCACTGTCTCCTCATGGAACAAATCTACTTCCTGGTCTACACATTCTGTTATGGTCCCTGTGACCCTTGTCTTCTGTAGCTCAAATAATCCTACTTTCTTTATAGGTTTCTCCAGTGATGTAGTTTCTGTCTCCTCACCATTGCTGCCCTCCACTGGACACACTGCCCCGCCTACATGAAAGTCCCCAAAACTGGCCATATATGACTCTAGCTCTGACCCCCAGAGAGTAAAATGGGATTATCCCTTTCCTTGGAGTTATGACTCTGATATGTCATAAAGACAGAGTGTATATGTAGTGATGGTCTTGCTACCTTGTGACAGGCTTTGCCTGGACTTATGGGGGTGGGGGTAGGAGGAACCATGGATAGTTTTGGGGTCTGTGTGTAGTTGTGGTCATATGAGGTGGCTGGACAAACTGTATGCCAGTGAAATTGATGAATGTGCCAGAGAATGAAAAAGATTGAGAAAAGCTGTTTGGGAAGAAGATCTTCAGGGTAACTAGCATGTGACCTGGGGTGTGGATGGATGGGTAGTGGTCTGAGTCACAAAAACCCTGCCTAATGGACCAGAATCCTGGGAAGTCTCCCAAGGTGCTCCAAGAGGTCTTCTGATCATTGTGTTTTCACATTGTGCCATGATTGTGAAGTGTCAGGGTGCAGGGTGTGAGGTGCGATTGGGGGGGGATTATATAGTAGAAAACCTGAAATCTAGCTCTTGAGCAGACTGGTTAACTCTGCACATCAATTTCCTCATCTGTAAGATAACATCTACCTTAAACAAGATTCTTGAGCATAGCCAATGAGTTAAGAGATGCAGAAGTGCTTGTAAAATGTGAAGAGCTATTTAAAAGATAACTATTCTGCTAATTTTTTTTTAAGTTAAGTGTTAGGAGGGTACTAGAGCAAAAGCTGTTTCTTGGCCCTTACTCTGAAAGGGCATTGAGTCCTTCAGAGATTCAACCCACAGATGGCCCCTGGCCTAGGTGACCTGACCCTCTGATGCCTGAGATTGGAGAGGACCCACCTGAAAATGGGGATGACATAGTTGTTGGGGAAGATGCCGACTCGCCCGGTCACCAAGGAGACACCCCTGAGCCAGCCATCCTGGTACTTCCCCAGGACCCTGATGCCCTCTCCCTTCTGCAGGTCCAGTTCGTCGGGTCCATGGGCTGAGTAGGAGTGCAGGGCTACAAACCTGGGGAGACAAAAGGAACTGGTAAAGGAAGCTGGTGAGCGGAAGGATGGAACCAGTGAAGGGTGAAGCGAGAGGAAAACTTAGAGCCCACCTGCCCGGTGTTTAGCAACAACACCTTTTAAGAACTGAAATCTCACTATGTAAGGCAGATGAAAGTGGTGGAGCCTGGTTGAAGTAGCAGTGGAGGCGCCCAGATCCCTGCCCCCACCTCCTCCCTGCTCCTCCACAGAGTGCCCCACAGCTGCAAATCACTCATTTAGGTCACATCAGCACTTTGACAATGGGGAAGCTGGTCTAGAATAGAGAAAGGAGTTGGTGACCAGGAATCAGAGGCAGAGCTGGGTCTCAAACCTGGAAGTGATGGTTCTATCTAGGATGCTTTTTCACACTGCTTAGAGTATCCCCCAAGACAATGGTCACAGCCATCAAGGTTCAGGGAACTGAGGGGTCAGAAGAGAAACCTCTCTGATCCACTCCCTCTCCTGAGGGTAGGGACATGTCTGACCCCCAGGAATGGCCCGAGGAGCTTAGCTTAATGTAGGCCAGAGGTGGACATGGGAAAACGGGAGGCGGGTGTTAATTTCAGTGTTTGGCACGCAGTGGAATACTGGCTGCATGTTGGCGTGGAGGAGGATGGGCTTGAAACATGGTAGAAATGTTCTCGGGTTAGAGCAGTGATTTGCCTCTCTGAAGTCCACACAGGAGTTGGGCAGGTGACATCCAGGTATGAGCCAGGGGGTGAAGACCCTGGGGAATAGTGAGGCTGTGGTAGGAGAATAACTGCCTGCCTAAAGGCATTAAAAATAACCCACTTTGGGGCTTCCCTGGTGGTGCAGTGGTTGAGAGTCCGCCTGCCGATGCAGGGGACACGGATTCGTGTCCCGGTCTGGGAGGATCCCACGTGCCACAGAGCGGCTGGGCCCAGGAGCCGTGGCCGCTGAGACTGTGCGTCCGGAGCCTGTGCTCCGCAACGGGAGAGGCCACAACAGTGAGAGGCCCGCGTACCGCAAAAAAAAATAAAATAAAATAACCCACTTTGGCTTGCCAGGTTCGGGGTTACCAGTGTATGGCCTCAGGCTGGATGTTAGGAAGTCCTTCTAGACTCTATGGACTGTGAGACACTGAAAGTTTTTATCAAAGGGGCTAGGAGAGTGTTCTCATCTGCAAGGTTCCTTTCCCCTCTAAAATGCTATATTTATTTCTTGCTGATTACTAGAGCAACATCTATTGATGACCTTACATTGTGAATCTAAAGGAAGACAATAGAAATTGCTCAGTACCTAAGCTTCCTGTAATGTTTTGGTATATAATCTTCCAGTCTCTTTCTACTTTTGTAAAATAATGAGCCAGGATGATGTGGTTTGGTAATTTGTGTTTTTCACCATTATTCCCTTTGGAAGTTGTAAAAGAAGGGGAGCTGTTATCTCTCTGGATGTGTTGGTTGGGGACGGGGGATGCTTGATGGCAGAGGGATGGCAAAGATGACCCCTCTATGCCAGGACCAGGAGTGGAGGGTTGAACTTTTTTTACTCACATGTTAGCTGAGAGGTGTTGCTGGGAGCCGGGCAGACTGATGATGGCCGTGGAATGTCCTGGGGAGGCAGGTGCAGGGTGATAAGTGCTGACCTACACAGACAGAAAAGCCAGGCAGAACCAGTGAACATCACCAGCCAGGCCCACAGCAGAGGCAGCCTGACACAACCAAAAACCAAGGGCCACGCCTGGCACCACCCAGCATGTGTCTTCTCTGTGGTTTGGGGCTGTAGGCAGAGCCGAGTGGTGGTAGATTGGTTTATCGTTTGCTGGGGTGGCATGCCAGGGTCGCAATCCAAAAGACTGCTCAGAGAGGGCAGAGGAGAAGACCTGTCTAGTTTACAGTCAACAGGGTACTGCCAGGATCCTCGATCTCTTCCCTGGGCCCCTCCCTACCCATCTCCCACTGCACTCACCTCCCTCTGTGAAAACCTATTCTCATAAAATGATACAATAGCTAATACTGAGAACTTAACACTCGCCAGGCAGTTTTAAGAGCTTTACAAGTATCAGCTAATTTAATCCTTATTAAAGGGACTATTATCATCCCTATTTTTGGATGAGAAACTGGGGGAAAGAAAAGTTACCTGACTAGTATGAAACAAACTTTTAAACCAGGTTGTCTAGGTCCTGAGCCCACACTATCAGTATTAACACACACACAGACACACACACTCACACTCACACACACACACCAGTTTACCCAGTGACTTAAGGAAGGTAAATCTGCATCCTCTTTACTTTTCCAGGATGAAAGAGGGAGCAATAATGCTAAAAGTATCGGAAACTGCCTATTATCCTGGCACCTTGCCTGTTGTCTAACATCTTACCTTGCTCATTTCCTTCTTGGCATATATCACAGGCTGTGATTGTTTCCTTGTTTAGTTACTGACCATCCCCCATCACTAGAGTGTAAGTTCCATGAGGGCAGGGACTATGTCTTTTTCATCATTGTATTTCTTATGTGCCCAATATGTACTTGTAGCTTAAAGAATGAATAAATGAACAAAAAGATCTTTCTACCCAGTCCACCAAGGACTAATGAAACCTCAACCATCTCCATGCCATCCAGAGTAAATACATTCAATCTGTCTTCAGTTGTCAACTCATAAGCGATGGTAGCTACATATGTGTGCCTTTTTATGACTATGCTTTTGTGGGTATAACTATGATTTGCATATGTGTGTTTGGGCAGTTGCTAATCCATTACCAAGTATATGTATCTCTGGTTCTTTCTACAATTGCGTATGCTTTTTCAGAACCCATGACAATTGCATGTACATGTATGATGGCACTGGTCTATTGTATGTCTGATTATGTTCACATATGTGGGTCTGTGGATTGATAAGCATGTATACTCTGATTATATGTATGTATGGTTGTAAATGTCTATCTGGAATTATGTGTGTAGGTATGTAAACTCTAGAGGTGTGTGCAAATATGAATGGGTATAGTTTTATGTGTGTGCCAATGACTGTGGAAATATATGTATGGCTGCGTATGTATGTGTGACATTTCAATCCAGGTATAGGATCAGAAAACTATTCTAGTCAGATAGTAACAAGTGTTGGCAAGAATGTAGAGAAATCAAAACCCTCATACAGTGTTGGTGGAAACGTAAAATGGTTCAGGCCCTTTGGAAAATAGTTTTGCTGTTCCTCAAATGACTAAACATAGAATTACCATATGACCCAGTAAGTCCAGTACCCAAGAGAGATGAAAACATATGTCCACACTAAAGCTTGTGCATGAATTTTACAGCAGCATGATTTATAATAGACAAAAGGTGGAAATAACCCAAATGTCCATTGACTAATGAATGAATAAACAAAATGTGGTATATCCATACAGTGGAATATTATTCAACCATAAAAGAAATGAAGTATTGATATATGCCAGAACATGGATAAGCCTTGAAAACATTATGCTAATTGAAAGGAGTCAGACACAAAACACATTACATAATTCCATTTATATGAAATGACCAGAAGAGGCAAATCTATATAGAAAGTAGATTAGTGGTTTCCAGGGGCTGGGGATATAGGGGGATATAGGAATAATAGTTAAGGGTACAGGGTTTCTTTTTGAGGTGATGACATATTGTAAAATTGTGGTGAAAATGGTTGCACATATCTGTGAATATATTAAAAACCACTGACTTGTACATCTTAAATGGCTTAAATGTATGTTATGTGAAATATATTTTAATAAGCTTTAAAAAAAGATGCCAAAAAGCATATGATCATCTCAGTAGATGTAGTAAAAGCATTTGATAAAATTCAACATCCATTTATGATAAAAACTCTCCAGAAAGCAGGCAAAGAGGGAACATACCTCAACACAGTAAGGGCCATATATGGCAAACCCACAGCTAACATTGTACTCAATGATGAAAAGTTGAAAGCATTTCCTCTAAGATCAGGAACAAGACAAGGATGTCCACTTTCGCCACTTATATTCAACATAATTTTGGAAGTCCTAGCCATGGCAATCAGAGAAGAAAAAGAAATAAAAGGAATCCAAATTGGAAAGGAAGAAGTAAAACTGCTCGTTTGCAAATGGCATAATACTATGAGTAGAAAATCCTAAAGACACCACCAGAAAAACTACTAGAGCTCATCAATGAATTTGGTAAAGTTGCAGGATATGAAATTAATGTACAGAAACCTGTTGCATTTCTATACACTAACAATGAAAGATCAGAAAGAGAAATTAAGAAAACAATTCCATGTACCACAGCATCAAAAAGAATAAAATACCTAGGAATAAACCTACCTAAGGAGGCAAAAGACCTGTACTCTGAAAACTATGACGCTGATGAAAGAAATCAAAGATGACACAAATAGATGGAAAGATATACTGTGTTCTTGGATTAGAAGAATCAATATTGTTAAAATGACCATACCACCCAAGGCAATCTACAGCTTCATTGCAATCCCTTTCAAAATACCAATGGCATTTTTCACAGAACTAGAACCAATAATTTAAAAATTTGTATGGAAACACAAAATACCCCGAATAGCCAAAACAATCTTGAGAAAGAAAAACAGAGCTGAAGGAATGACACTCCTTGACTTCAGACTATACTACAAACCTATAGTCATCAAAACAGTATTGTACTGGCACAAAAACGGATACACAGATCAATGGAACAGGATAAAGAGCACAGAAATAAACCCACACACTTATGTTCAATTAATCTATGACAAAGGAGACAAGACTATGCAATGGAGAAAAGACAGTCTCTCTTCAATAAGTGATGCTGGGAAAACTGGACAGCTACATATAAAAGAAAGGGGGCTTCCCTGGTGGCACAGTGGTGGAGAGTCCACCTGCTATGTAGAAAAATAAACTCTAAATGGATTAAAGACCTAAATGTAAGACTGGATACTATAAAACTCCTAGAGGAAAACATAGGCAGAACACTCTTTGACATAAATTGTAGCAATATTTTTTTGGATCTGTCTTCTAAAGTAAAGGAGATAAAAGCAAAAATAAACAAATGGGACCTAATTAACTTAAAAGCTTTTGCACAGCAAATGCAGCCATTGACAAAATGAAAAGACAACCTACTGAATGACAGAAGATATTTGCAAATGATATGACCAATAAGGGATTACTATCCAACATATGTAAACAGTTCATACAACTCAACATCAAAAAAACAAACAACTGATTAAAAATGGGCAGAAGGTCTAAATAGATACGCTTCCAAAGAGGAAATGCAGATGGCCAACAGGCACGTTGAAAAGATGCTCAACATTGCTAATCATCAGGGAAATGCAAAACTAAACCACAATGAGATATCACCTCACACCTGTGACAATGGCTATCATCAAAAAGGACACAAATAACAAATGTTGGTGAGGATGTGGAGAAAAGTAAACCTCTGTACACTGTTGGTGGGAGCCACTGTGGTGCAGCCACTGTGGAAAACAGTATGGAGGTTTATCAAAAAAATAAAAATAGAACTAACATATGACCCAGCAATTAAACTCCTGGGTGTATGTCCAAAACAAACAAACAAAAAAACAACAAAAAACACTAATTTGAAAATATGCATGCACTCCTGACCTAGAGGAACTTGACCAACAAGTAGAAGATGACGAGAGAGCCTGAGCCAAGATGGCGGAGTAGAAGGATGTACTCTCAATCCCTCTTGTGAGAACACCAGAATCACAGCTAACTGCTGAACAATCATCGACAGGAAGACACTGGAACTCACCGAAAAAGATACCCCACATCCAAAGACAAAGGAAAAGCCACAATGAGATGGTAGGAGGGGCACAATCCCAATAAAATCAAATCCCATAACTGGTGGCTGGGTGACTCACAAACTGGAGAACACTTATACCACAGAAGTCCACCCACTGGAGTGAAGGTGCTGAGCCCCACGTCAGGCTTCAAAACCTGGGGGTCTGGCAACGGGAGGAGGAGTTCCTAGACAATCAGACTTTGAAGGCTACTGGGATTTGATTGAAGGACTTGACACTCTTGGAGGGCATACACAAAGTAGTGTGCACATCGGGAACCAGGGGAAGGAGCAGTGACCCCAGGGGAGATTGAACCAGACCTCCCTGCTAGTGTTGGAGGGTCTCCTGCAGAGGTGATGGGTGGCTGTGGCTCACCATGAGGACAAGGACACTGGGAGCAGAAGTTCTTGGAAGTACTCCTTGCTGTGAGCCCTCCCAGAGTCCACCATTAGCCCCACCAAGGAGCCTGCAGGCTCCAGTGTTGGGTCACCTCAGGCCAAACAACGAACACAGGGAACCCAGCCCCACCCATCAGCAGTCAAGCAGATTAAAGTTTTACTGAGCTCTGCCCACCAGAGCAACAGCCACCTCTATCCAGCACCAGTCCCTCCCATCAGGAAACTTGCACAAGCCTCTTAGGTAGCCTCATCCACCAGAGGGCAGACAGCAGAAGCAAGAAGAACTACAGTCCTACAGCCTGTGGAACAAAAACCACATTCACAGAAAGATAGACAAGATGAAAAGGCAGAGGGCTATGTACCAGATGAAAGAACAAGATAAAACCCCAGAAAAACAACTAAATGAAGTGGACATAGGCAATCTTCCAGAAAGAGAATTCAG